AGTCATGAAACTTTCCAAAAAAATATATACTAAGTTTGTTTTGCTAGTTCAATCTGACTGTGTCAATCAAACCCTAATGACTTGCATACACAAAGGTTTTATTTCAGGCACTTGAAATTTTCACAAAAGTTCATAGAGTATCTGAACAAAGTTGTTTTTAAATTGAATCTTCTAAACTGCTTTTACTTTCCTCTCTCCTTTAAATGACAGCATATATGTTATTAATAATTATCATCCTCACCCAGGTCTAGCAGATATACAAAGTGGTTATTAAAATGCTTATAAAGTTGACTCCACTCCTATAACAACCATATACACATGGCTATTTTCCCCTAATTTCAATATATTCTTCAAATAATTTCTACTGAGGTGACCTCATTTCTGTTTTGTGGCATTTGGGATGTTTCTCATGACCCTCATCAATACAGCCCTAAGAAGTCATCTTTCTCCTGGCCAATTAATTACTCAGTAAGGCTGTGTCATCTGTAACCAAAATACCCAAATAAAATAAACATTTTGAGAATTACATACAATGTGGTTAATCATTGTAGTCATGATATTAACTCATGTACCTATAAAGTAGAAATCTAAAGAATAGAAATTCTTTTTAAAAAGCCTTCTTGATCCACTTGTCTTTAAAAAATACAATGGAAATTTGAAGAGCAGAATAATTAGAAAGCAGAAAATGTAAAGGCAGAGTTTCCAAGTGACCCAGATCCATACTTGAAGTCAGTCTACCTTTACAATTTCCTCACACGAAAAATAGAAAAACAAGGCGGCCAGGTGCAGTGGCTCACGCTTATAATCCTAGCACTTTGGGAGGCTGAGGCGGGTGGAGTACGAGGTCAGGAGATCGAGACCATCCTGGCTAACACGGTGAAACCCCATCTCTACTAAAAATACAAAAAAAATTAGCTGGGCATGGTGGCACGCGCCTGTAGTCCCAGCTACTTGGGAGGTTGAGGCAGGAGAATTGCTTGAACCTGGGCAACAGAGTGAGACTCCATCTCAAAAGAAAAAGAAAAATAGAAAGAAATACCTTTAGTCCATTTTTACTTGTCAAAGTAGACAGAGATCATTTAAAATCTGGAGCTCTTTAGGTTTTAAATCAAGAAACCAAATACCTACAACATGGTACCTTACGATAGATGACAAGTACAGTAAGTCATGTTAGAAGATGCAGTGTATAAAGCCATGTGGGGATGTGAATAATAGACTGACCTTTTTAATTAATATTAAAGCAGTTCAGCTGCTAAACAAATGGAAATGACTGAAAATAGTCATATTACCAAGTTACAAGCAAAAGCTATTAAAATATGCTTTTCCCCCACATATACAGACATTTCAAATGGATGTAACTGCACAGAGAGGTATGAGCCAGTAAAAAGCGGACAAGAATTAGTAAGTTGTCTTATATTAAAATTAGAACAATCTTGAAAACTTGCACTTTATGCTTGGGAAGGATGAGCTTTGATCTTAATTTCAGTTAAAAGCCACCACTACAGGTACTATTTCTTTTTATTTTTTTAAACTTTTAAAAACCAATGTCAGCAATTTCACATTCTCTCTTATACCTGCAAAAGTGCTGGTTGAAACTTATGGGTTATCTTTCAGTCCTTTACTCATTTCACTTTTTAGCTCTAAATGAAAAGTTGGGAAAATCGTCTCTCCACTAAGAGTATCTTCAGTATATTCCTTGTTGATCTATTTCATTGTGGCCATATTGTTTCCTGGGTTTCATACACACCACAATGTAAAAGTTGTGAAAACCCTTTAACATATAGACTATGCTTTTTGCATGCCCAGAAGGGAAACCATACAAAGAATGTTTCCAAAAGAAGTGCTAATGTCTGGGGGAAGAATGTGGAGGAAGTTTTCAAACAGGAAGACAAAATATCCTTTCAGACAACTTAGGATATCATTTGGTAAAGACATAGCATGAAGATATGAAAGGTCATAAAAAGAAGTTTGACAAATATTTATAATTTTTGGAGAAGACAAAATAAGAAAAAATGAGTATAAACAGTATCAATGAAGAGGTCTATAAAACATTAAAAAATAAACCTATATTATTTTCTCATAAGCAATATTGCTGAGTATCCTTTTATGTGCTTAGCATTTTATTTGGTATTGTAGGGGACTCAGAGGATTTGACACAATCACTTCCCTCAAAGAGTTTACATGTGTACATAAAATTAATAAAACAGGGCAAGGAGAGATGAAATAAGGTTGTGACTGTGACACTAACAATATGTGTAGTAGGACTCAGCAAAAGAACAAATAGGAAGTCAAGAGTTGTCAGGGAATTAGCCATGATGAAGGAAAGACTTGAGCTGGACCCTGAACGTAGGCAGAAGCTGATTGTGGAGGATTAAGAAAGGGTTGGGAAGGGGTTATACAAAGGGGATGACTGGAATTTCCAAAGCCCATACAGTACCCAACATGGTGAACAAGAAGAGATTACTGAGGGTCCTGGTGTGCATGGAGAAAGGTCACATGTTGGGAAATGAAAGGATATTAGATTGGAAGGGTAGAGTGGAGTTATATATAATCCAAACAGGACTAAAACCCTATGTGATAAGTGATGAAGGGCCACTGCGCTTTCTTTAATACAACTTAGGCCATGAGAAGGAAAAACCTTTCTGAAATTTTTGCAGGACTCTTAAAATGTTTCAACAATTGGGAAATGTTCTAAGTATTTATACTTAGAAATACTTCAGGAAAATGTTCTAAGTATTTATAACCTAAATCCTAAATTTTTGTAAATAAATGGGATTATTTTTACCTAGGCCTGCATCTTATTCTAGTGGCATAAATTTGCTGCCTAATACTATAGGATACTTTATGGTGTTCCATAAAACCTATTGGAGAATTATTCTACACATACTTCTATAGAGGTTAAAGTTCATCTAAGGCCATACCACCCTGAACACACCCAATCTCGTCTGATCTTGGATGAATATATAGATTCAACATAAATATACTTATTCACTCTGTCATTCATTAATTCATTCATTCCACATTTACTGAGCACTCTATCTCCCTGTCTCTCTGCCAAGTATTCTACTTAGTACAGAGGATGTAAAGAAAAAAAAAATAGTTCTTGACTTCTATGAGTCTGGTGGGAGATATGAACAGATAAAAAAACTGAGTATAATCTAAGTAAAAGTTCATTGCAGCACCTGTTTTAATAAGGAAGAGAGTTTTGTTTTCAGTAGCTTCTTATCAGAGATCAAAGCAATACATAGGCATTCCAGGATGTCGCAAGAGTCACATTTCTGTAAAAGCTGCTACTCAATGCTGGTTATCATAATGTCACAATGTCAGAATGCACAGATGGCTTGTTTGACCTGGAAGCCTCTGTACAGGTGGTGATGGTGGGCTGAGTGTCTAGAAGCAATGCAGGTGCCCTAGATACCTGGGCCAATCTTGGAAAACAATGGTAACAATGGGATTTGTACCTTTCTGTCCCCAGAAACTCTTGGAAAATACCTGCTGCAGCAACTATTGGACCACTGTTAGCCTTAGTTCTACCAAAGGAGAGTAGCTCTAAACAAGGAAAGAAACTATGCAGTGTCATTCCTTTAGGCCATTTCTACCCTCACATAGGCTCATTAGAGTAACTTGTGAAGAGTTGCAGTATTTCCACGGCCTCCCACCCTCAAATTATCTTGCCACATGGTTACTGAATGGGCTCAAATCATTCAATTAGAGATAAAATCAAAGCCTTCAATTATTCCAATGAACTCAAATCTATTCCTTTAGAGATAAAACCAAAGGCTTGAATGAAGATGCTCAATTGAGATAATACAGATGACTGAAATTCATTTGCATCAACCTAATGTGGAATCCATCTGCCACACTATAAAGGCTGGCATCAAATTCTCTTCTGGTTATACAAGAGGAGAAGGTTAGAAAGCAATTAGGAATAATGTAGCAAGAAAGGTCAAGAACGTGGAATGTGAGGGCCATGAAAAGTAATACAAATTTCATCAACTTTATGGTTTAGTTTGGGGTGGCTGTGTCCCTCTGAGTGTGTGGAAGTCAGTGCTGTTTGTAAGCTGATTGGAGTAAGCTGCTGGAGTCCCAACAGTTAAGTAAGAATCATGTCACATGGCAGAAATCACCCCTGCTCAACATGATTATAAATATTTTATTTGCCCTTTTAACAAAGAAATTTATCCCCTCATGGTTCTTTCCAGATGAAGAATAAGAGTAATATGTAAAGGTGGGATCTCGAAGGAGGACCATTTGGTTTCAAATCCTGGATATTCTTCCTTTGACCTGTGTGATCTCGAGGACATAATTTGAGCAATTTGTACTCAGGTTCTCGTCTACAAAGAGGATGAGAATGACACCTAACTCAGAGGGTTGCTGCGATGCTTAAAAGCAACAATACAGAGGGGGCTCTTTATGCATAGAAAGCTCTAAATTCATATTAGTTAATATTGTTTTTGCATAGGACTGAAAACATCCAAAGTCATTTAATTGAGACAACAGTAGGCATATTGTGGCAAAAAGGAAAACTGAGAAACTTAGAATGATTGCACATTTACATTGTGCTCTGCAGGCTATTCTAAAATATTTGGCACTTTTCAAGAGCCATGGAATATGTTATCATCAGCATCGAACCTGGGGAATCTGCAGAATGGGCTGGCACGACAGGAATGTTTTTTGTGAACTACTAGAAAGAGCTTCTTAAATATTTATAACAAGGTTACCGAATAGAAAATGGCACACGTAGGGTCTTGGGTTGAGGTATAGCCCAAGGGGATCTGTGGCAGGTGGAAATTTCTTTTATGTCTCCTTTGTGCACATTTTGTTTTCCATATCAAAATATATTGGCTTAAGCATATAGAGGGTTCACAAAAAATTCTAATTCCAATAAGATGAATTCTCCAGGAAGTTCCACCTTGTTCATCTGGGAGTATCAACTCTTAGGGCAACCTAGCATGAATTCTTGAGGATTCAGTGACTTCAATTTGAGAAGCACAAAAACAGGAGATACAAACAGAATTTTATTTAGCATACTGCCACTGAAATAGGTCATACATATCATTTAACACAAAGCTGTGATTTAAGACAAAAACAGGAAGGATAAACCTTGAATATTCTGGTTCTCTGATAATTTCCATGCATATCCACAATTTGAAAATAATGTGACTGAGAATATTTCATTTTTAAAATTTATTCAGAAGGTATATGTGATTCTCAATGTAGAGTCATCACATTGATCCTCAATTAATGCCTCAGGTTATCCAAGTTACTTTTATTGAAGTTGTCATATTTTTGTATAAAGAACATTTTACAGTATATATTTTTTAATATATGGTAATTTATTTCTTCTTTAATGTTCTTTAGTTGATCGTTTTTGGCCATGGAAAAGACAGAAAGATATGGGAAATACCTAAAAGAAATAAACAAATCCATTTAAGGTTTGACATTCTTCTATAAAACAGAAAAAAAAAAATTGCCCAGTGGGTAGCCAATAATAGCATAAAACTCTGACTTGACATACTCAAACAGGAAAAATGCTAATTAACAAAATACTGGTTTTAATAATGTATGCACTCATCCAGTTCTTTTAATGAACCTTCATCATACTTCTCAATGAGAAACTTTAAATATCTGTTTCAATTCCTTAGATGTTTTCCAATTCCTTGTAGACTTACGTAGGGTATGCAGTATCTCTTTTGGGACACATAAAAGTTCTTGGATGATTACTATCAGTCATTCTAAAACACCCAAATGAACTAGTTTAATTATGGAGAAGTTAATTTATAGATATCATGTTGCAGTGACAGGAATAAAAATAATCTCTCTCCGTAGAAACCAAATACAACAAGAAAATTCTAATTGAATCACATGTGTTACCTGGACATGAGCCACATTGGTTTGATCAGGGACATTTATTTTCCATCACCTTTGTAAAAATAAAGTGTCACATTACAGTGAAATTCCAAAGGTGTTTCTTCCCTGCGAATCAAAATTAAGTAAAATTAATTGATCTATAGAAACTCCTCTGGACTTCCAGATAAACATGTCAAGTTGAAGACACAGGTTTATCATTGCCCTGGCTGAAAGCCCCACACTATACCATCCTTGAGGGAATATGAAAAAGCATAAAGCAATGAGGATAAAAAGAAGGTAAGAGGGGATTCAAATAGATGAGAGATACTATAGAACTGAACCATCGTTCTGATTTCTCGAGATCAAAAGCTTTGACATTATCCGTGACTGTTCTCTCTCTGTGACACTTACGTCCTTTCCGTTAGGAAGTCTTGTTAGACACACCCCCAAAATGATTCAGAATGGAGTCATTTCACACCACTTCCACTACTATCACTTTCGATGTATCAGTAGTCATGACCACCATCATCTCTTGCCTAGATTATTGCAGCAATCTCTTCCTTGGCCTCCACTGATCCACTACCATCCATTCTCAGCATAGCTGCCATATCACTTCTTACAACAATGTCATGTCTCTTTAAAAAAAAAATTGTTGGCCGGGCTCAGTGGCTCAGGCCTGTGATCCTAGCACTTTGGGAGGCTGAGGCAGGTGGATCTCTTGAGGTCAGGAGTTCAAGACCAGCCTGGCCAACATGGTGAAATCCTGTCTCTACTAAAAGTACAAAACAGCCAAGTGTGGTGGTGCACGCCTGTAAGCCCAGCTACTTGGGAGGACGAGGCAGGAGAATCACTTGAACCCAGGAGGCAGAGGTTGCAGCAAGCTGAGATCGCACCAGAGCAAGACTCTGTCAAAAAAAAAAAAAAAAATTCTTAATGCTTATTAGAATTTTAAAATACAATGTTCAGCAACATATATTTATATAATATGAATACCCAAATGGAGACATATAAAAATAAAATGAAAAATGTTTTACTTAAAGGAGATATAAGAATAAATTTTCATTGCTCCACGTTGTTGAAGCTGAGGTTATACAAATATAAATTATAGGGTTTACAACTTTTTTAAACTATTATTTTAAGTACAGCGGTACATGGGGTACAGGTTTGTCTTTTAACAATATCAGTCATGTTTAAATACTACCCTTGTGCCTCATTCAAAGAAACTTAATTTTCACAACAGCCCACAATGCTCCCTATGTTGTCTGGATTCCTGTTCCCATCCTGACCTCATCTTACCGCTCTTGCCCTTGCTAATCCACTGGGACCAGTAACTGCGCTCGTGCCATGAGCACACTAGCTGCATTCCTGCCTCTGGTTACACATGCTGCTCCTTCTGCCTAGAAAACACACTTCCCCCACAAACTTATTCAACTGAAGTAACTGCTGTAATTTCACTCTCACTTTGACATTCTTTCTAACACATCTAAAGAAAAATTTCTCTCTTTCTCTCTCTCTCTCTCTATATATACACACACACACATATATCTGATACTCATTTGCCTACTTCATTTCTTTTTGATAGCATTTATCACTCTCCAACATACTATATGATTTACCTATTATGTGTAATATCTTACCCAGTCAAATGTAAGCTCCTAACAGCAGGGATTTTTGAACAGTTTTTATCTCCACTGTAGTACCTATACCTGCAACAACAGCTAATCCAATAGATACTCATAATAAAGTTACAGATAAAATATAGGAAGCCCAATTAGCTTTGAATTTTCAGATAAAGAGTGGGCAACAGAGCTAGACCCTGTCTCAAAAAAAAAAAAAAATGCATGGGGATGGGGTGTGAGGAACTATAAACAGGAGGATTAGATACAAGTCTTTAAAGGAAGTAGTTAGACATTTAAAACCACCTCCACGCTGACAAGACAGATGACTGCTCCACTTTACTCCAGCACAAGACTAAAGTTGTACCTTCTGGGTGTGAGGAACAGTAAAGGTACAAAAGACAAAACAATTGAGCAGAAATTTTGATAACATGTAACCACAGTCCATTATAAAAGCTCTAAGCAAACTAGCAATAAATGAGGACTTCCTTAAACTGGAAATAGATGTCTAAGAAAAAAACCTACAGCAAACATAATGCTTACTGGTGAAATGCTGAAAGCTTATCCCAGATTTTGAAAACAAAACTAAGATGTTTTCTAAAGCCAACTATACTCACTACCTTGTTAATTAATGAAAGGAAACAGAATAAAACACATAAGAACTAGAAAACATGATTGTGAGTGCAAAAAATCCAAATATTTACAGATAAAATGATAGAATTAATAAGTGGATTTAACAAAGTTGCAGGATATAAAAATCATTTATATTTACATATGCTAACAAAGCCAGTTGAAAATGTAATTTCAAAAAGATAACACTTATAATAAATAAAATTAAATACACAAGAATAAATCTAAAAAACATGTATAAGACCTCTATACAATACTACAAAACATTTCTGGGAGAAATTTTAAAGATTTCAATAAATTATTATGGATTGGGAGAATTGATACTGCAAAATTTTCAATATCCTTAAATTAATTTAGAAATTCTGTAAACTCTTAATAAATAATTTTGACCTGTGAAAGGAAAATAAGTCTTGGAGCCCCAAAATCACTAAGCTAAAGGGAAAAGTCAAGCTGGGAACTGTTTAGGGCAAACCTGCCTCCCATTTTATTCAGTCATCCCTCTGCTCACTGAGATAGATGCATATCCTACTGCCTCCTTTGGAAAGGCTAATCAGACACTCAAAAGAATGCAACCATTTGTCTGTCACTACCTGTGACCTGGAAGCCCCCTCCCTGCTTCAAGTTGTCCCGCCTTTCTGATCGAAACCAATGTATATCTTACATATATTGATTGATGTCTCATGTCTCCCTAAAATGTATAAAACCAAGCTGTGCCCTGACCATCTTAGCCACCTGTCATCAGGACCTCCTGAGGCTGTGTCATGAGCGCATGTCCTCAACATCCTCAACATTGGCAGAATAAACTTTCTAAAATAACTGAGACCTTTCTCAGATATTTGGGATTCATATGCCCAAAATGAAAATCTGGTACTAAATTTACATGAAGCCACAAAGGGCCAAGAATAGTTAAACAATTCGTGAAGAATAACAAAATTGGAAAACTCAAAATGCCAGATTTCAAGATTTATCTTGAGGTTACAGTAAATAAGACAGTGTGGTATTGATGCAGGACCAAGTAGAAACAATGGAAGAGAAGAGAGAATGTTGAAAGAAGTAGGCCAAATGTATGATCTCCTGATTTACAACAGTACAGAAAATCAATTCTGTGTGAATTGTGATGTGAAAATACAAAAGGCAAAGCAATAATATTCAAGAAGATAACATGAAAGAATATCTTCGTAAATTGGGAAGGGACAGATTTCTTAAACAGGACAAAAAAAGCAGTCATGATGAAGAGAAAGAATTAAAAAATAAAACTTCTTTAAAATTAAACTTCATTTATCAATGTACCATTCAAACAGTGAAAAGTCACAGCATGAGAGAAGATATTGTCAATATTTGATGAAGACCTCATGGCCAGACTAGAAAAAGAATTCCTAAAAAATAAAAAGATAACTCAAATAATTTTTCTCACTAGACTGGTTATCCTCCACTAAAAAGGATAGTCAAATGGGCAATAAACATAAGGGTACAAAATAACCAATACGGAGATGCCGATTAAACAATAAGTTGCTGCTGTTCACTCATCAGAATGGCTAATAGTAAAACAAACAAGCAAACACAATGGTTAATAAAAAATGTTGATAAGGATGTGAAACAACTCCAACTTTCCCACATTGTTGATAGGAATTTAAATTGGGACAACGACTTTGAAAAACTGCCAAAGATTATGTTTATACCCTAGCATTTCCGATAATAGCTATGTACCAAATGGAAAGTAATACATAGATTCACTAAGAGACATGATGGAAATGTTCACGTTATTTGTGAAAGCCCCAAATTAGAAATAACCCAGTAGTCCATCAACAAATAGAATGGATAAATAAATTACAGTATGTTCATAAAATACAAAGAAAAAAACTATTACTGAGCACAAAATCATGGCTAAATTTCATAAATAAATGTGATGCTGTGCATAAAAAGTTTCTATTTTGTATATTTTTTCTGTATTTGAATTATATTTAAGTAAACAGTTTCCAAATGAAAGAGCATTGTGGAAAAAGAAAGTAAAAAGGAAAATAAATCTCCAGAGTCCAAGAAGGAAGCAGTTAACAGAGGGATAAATGAGGATTGAAATTAAATCTGATCCCTGGAACCTAGAGAACTGAGTTTTAACTTAGATACTTGCAACGTGGTGAGTTAAAATGGAGATCTTGTGGATGAAGTTGAATCCTCCAGGATAGGAGGCAGGAGAGAGCATCTAGAATATATGTATCTCTTAGAAAAGAGAAGTATCAAGAAAACTTTTTAGTCTTTATTTATCTGGATTTGGGAAAAAGGTATTCAAGGCTACAGGTTTTAAGATCAAACTTTAGATGACCTGTGGGGTCTGCGAAAGCCCAAGATAAGGAATTGAATCATTACTAGATAAATAATGTCTCAGGATGCTTGCCTGAAGCAAACAATATCCTACCTGGAGGAATACACACTCCCAGCTCAGGTGTCACAAAATTATCACAGATTAAGTTCTGAAGATGAGCTCAAAATACAAAATTGTAAAAACAATATGACACAAGAAACAAGCTACCATAGACTCTCAATGTCATTTTTTCTACTTAGAATAAACTTTAAGTGAAGAAAATTTGTCTGTGGCTCACGCCTATAATCCTAGCACTTTGGGAGGCCGAGGCAGGAGGATCATGAGGTCAGGAGATCAAGACCATCCTGGCTAACATGGTGAAACCCTGTCTACTAAAAATACAAAAAATTAGCTGGGCATGGTGGCGGCCGCCTGTAGTCCCAGCTACTCCAGAGGCTGAGGCAGGAGAATGGCGTCAGCCTGGGAGGTGGAGCTTGCAGTGAGCCGAGATAGGGAGGCAGAGCTTGCAGTGAGCCGCGATCATGCCACTGCACTTCAGCGTGGGCAACAGAGCAAGATTCTGTCTCAAAAAATAAAATAAAATAAAATAAAAAATGAAAAAAGTAAATTCCAACTATTGATATACAAATCTTTAATGATGTAGGTGGCAATTATTGCATGGTATGCTTTTAAGTGATTTGTGGGAAACTAATTTCTTTTCATAGCTAGACATGAAAAAGATGAATAAAATATAAAGGAAACGGACACAGTCATGACTGAGAAATTCTAATATATGAATCCTATTTATTAGGTGTGTGAAGTTTGGAGGACCTTGATATGCTATAGCTGACAAGACCAATACCTGGCCAAATGAAAAGGCAAGTTCATTAGGAAAGTGACCAACCCATAAAAGGTAAAACCATGTATTGTTGGCCCCCATACACATCTTAATTCTATAGACTATAGTCATTATAAGGACTTATAAACATAATAAATAATTGTGAATGTCTTTGTAATATCAGTACTCGACATGCAAAGCCACTCTGCATAAGCCTTTTTCCCTGTTTTATGCAAATAGGCTTGCAAACATCGGAACTAACAGAAAGTAAAAAAAAAAAAAAAGTATCAGTCAAGTTGCTTAGATGCTAGAAAC